GGATTATAGAAAATTGCAAAAATTTTTCCATATTTTCCCAAAATGCAAAATTTTTTTCCTTTAAGAACATTTATTGCGTCTAGCTTTTCAAAAGGGTTGATAGCAAAAAAAATTGCTGAAGCTTCTCAGAAAGTCAGTTACCTGTAGATAGTTTTGTTGCTACAGAATAGTCTGCAGGAAGAGAATCAACAAGAGCTGAGAGGAAATGTTGAAACCAGTAGTTGACGTTAAAAATGCTACGACTCATTGGGTTCCTGAAGAACTCTGTAGAATCTGGGTTGAGATAGTGGCAGAAGAACTACAAGTTAAACCGACATTTTAAAGAAACCCGGGTTGACGTCCAAAGAAGAAAAATGCTTATCTTATAGTTTCATATATGAAGTCTATGGAAAAAATGCTTATCGTAAAAAATTGATACAAAATTTAAAAAGTTATAAAAATTTCTAATGAACATTTTGCTCTACTTGCCTCTTTTGAAGCTTTCTGGTCATTAAAAAAATGATTTGAAAGTTTTTATAAAAAATCTTATCATACATTTTTCTTTAAATTTTCATCAAGTTTTCGTTACTTGTTTGGTATACAATTTCATGTGAAAAAAAAGTTAAAATTAACTTTTATAATTACAATCACCAAATGCAGTTAATGGTTTAGCCAAAATTCTAGCAAAGAAGTCAGCTGTGATCTACGCTCATGTCGAGGAAAGGATGAAAGTGGTAGGAAGTGAATTAGATAAGGACGTTTTAACTCGGGCTGAGAGAGGGAGAGATAGAAATTGAGAGATGAGGCAGCACACATATTGGGCTCAAAAAGAATTTAAGGTTTTGAGGAAGATTCAGAGGATAGAGTTCAAGATTCAAAGCTCGTTCAGTTTAGTTGTTTAAAGCTTCTGTCATGAAAGTGGAGTAAACTAAGATGAAATGATCTCTCCTATAGTCAAACATACGACAGTTTGTGTGATTGTTCCGACTTTCGAAGAAAACGGAATACTTATGCTCGGTGTGTTTTTTTTTTCATTCAGTCAATTTTCACCGATCGAAATAATATTTTTCAACAAAATTTTTTTTCAGTATTAAAGATATCAACTTGCTAAGTTCAAATGTAAAGACATATTTAACCTCAGATTAATTTTTTTAAGTTCTGGGGGTTTGAAAATTGCCAAATTTGCCATGTTCTGGACTAAATTAAGCGCGTTTTGAAGAATTCATTCATAATGCTGAGAGCGTAACACGAATTTTTGTGCGTGGCAAATTATCCCGCACAACAAAATCGCTCCAAATTGAATTGAGGCTATAGCTAATTGGTGGTGTTAATTTCTCACGACTCAAAATTTTACACTTTGATATTGTCCAAAGTGTATAAGTTTTCAATATTTTTTCACAAAAACTATTCGATATGAAGTGAAGGACATTCGGAAAATTCAGGGCTTTGCCCTGATACACGAGCAGTCTTGTTCACTCAGTAACTATTGAACTAAACCAGCTCTGTGCATCAACTGAATATTAAACAGTTTTTTTTAACAAACATTTAGTAGCATTTAGAAGAAGAAATCTCCATGAAGCAGTTATTTATGTAAATCATCCAGATACAGTTTTTAATTTATTGCAGCTTGTTACAACGTTCACATTACTGGAGTTGATTTCTAGATTAGTTTCACAAGCAGGCAGCTTTGAATCAGCTGAATTCAGACATCTATTTTTAGATGCAGGAGTTTGTTATCAACCCGTGTTCGTTTTCGTTTTTTGAATTTTTCTTTATGACTTGTCGATCACTGGCAAAAAGTTTGAAGTACTGATGCAGCAGAAAAAGAACCTAAAAAACTCGTATTATTGATCAAGGGGTAGTGCATCGGTTTCTGAGATTAAACATCAGTCGGGGCTTGAAACTTTCTTATAAGTTTAGCCAGAAGAGTTGTGCAGCTTATGTTATCCAAAATCCGAATGTGGGAGGGAAGTGTAACCACTATGTGATGTAGTAATCAAAAGTTACTGGTATGTTTTTTACTCAAAACTACAAAAACATAGGGCAAAAAACATTGAAAAATGTCATGGGTCTTTAATTATACAAAATGGATTGTAATTAAACCAAATTTTAAAAAAATAGTTTTTGTTCAAATTGACACTAGTTAAAGCTTAGAAAAATATTAACGATTTAAAAGAATTTGGATGAATTTTATTTATGTATGATTGAAGCTTTGAAAAATTTGGCAGCGAAATGCAAAACGAATTGTTTATTATCTAGACACTTCAATGTGGCTACTTAATTGAGGTCGGCTCTATTTAACCAAATCGAGGTTTGGCGAAAATAAAAGTGTTAACTTTAGGCGAAACAGTAGATAAAGAGTTGTATATTTTAGCAGAAATGGTATTTTATCCTGAAAACTCTGCAGGCAAAAGTAAACACGCTTTTTAAGCCGCAAAATATTGAGTGCCGCAGTCGCGCCAACGTGTTGCGGGCTTGACAACAGAGGGTGAAGAAATTTTGTAAGACCGCTTCTGGCAATGTCAATTGGGGTTTGGGAGGAGATTTTTAGGTTAAATATGCACTTTTTATGATCAAAATTTTGTCGGTTTATTTGTCATGTCACGGACTTTTCTTGTGCTTTAAGCAATTTCCTTGTTATTGAAACTTTTATCAAATTAATTTAAAAATTCTAAGTCTGCCTACCCCGTACTTTTTTTTTTGTTTCTTTTCGCTCAATGAGTTTTTTGTCTTCTAGGGATTTTTGTCAGTTTGAGAATATCAGAACTTCTTACAATATCACAACTTCCAACAATATTATGTTTTCGTCGTATACCAAAGTTTGTCGGCGTAATTGTCGCTCAATTGAATTACTTATTCTTATTAAAAGGCAGTTGTGTTGCTGAACTTGTTTTACCGACTTTGGAAACGAAAGTAACGGAACTTTTGTGCTCGGTGAGGTTTTTTTTCTTCAGAGGAATTTTGAGTTTTTAACTAGCCATTTTTTAATTATTATGATTAATTAAGATCATTTATCCACGAGGGATAGGACCAACATACGAGCTGTACAGCTCATCACGGCGAAGCGCTGTTGTGCCCCTGCTTAAGAACTACATGCAATTTTTTTGGTTATTTTTCTGGGCTGGGTAATGTTGCCTCACCCTCAAGCAACGAGCACGGATCATGGTGGGCCTCGAACATCCGACATTTCGATTGAGAGGCGGAGACGTAACCACTTCACCACTGCTCCCCAAATTCGAAAAGTATCATTGTCTTGAGCTTAAATTTTGAAAGATATGTCACTTGATCATTTTTTGTAAAATATTGTCTTGATCATTTTTTATAAAATTATGGGGGTTTATTTTTAATGGCCGAGTTGGCTACTTTAGGACAATTAACTGTGGGTATGTGAGTGATGATTTTCCTTTAAAAATCACAATAAAAAAATCGTTTTATTTTTATTAATTTAACTTTATCATGTTATTACTGCTCCGTAGACTTAAGACCTCCATAGAGAGGCAGTCGGAACATTCAGGGCTTTACAGTCGGAAACTGATTGAATGAACTTATTGGCCATAATTCATTTGTTACTAGGAACCAAATCTAATACTTTGTACTCTAAATGACGTGTGGGATGACGATTTTCCTTAAAAAATCTAAATTAAAAAATTTTCAATTTAATTTTTTACATACAGTTTTATCATGTTAATACTGCTCATGCTAATCATGCTAATAGAGCTTAGACCTCTATAAAAAACAAACGTAACATTCATGGCTTAGACCTGATGCGAGCAGTCTTGTTTTTATTTAGTTTTTTTATCTTCGAGACTAGCATATAGAAAGTTGAACTAAAAGTTATTTCGAATTAAGTGGCTTTTCTTTCTTTTTAAAATTTCATTATTGTGCTTATGCCACTTACGAACGTTTGACAGCTGTAACTTAGATTTCAATTGATGTTTCAATTGATTTGAGATGCGCGATACGCCTTATTCTATTACCGCGAAATCGAAATTCGGCTCAGAAATTTTTCTAATTTGAATTGAGGCAATCGACGTAAATTTTCTTTGATACATTTTTGCTGCTAGACGCTAATAACATTTTCCTCAACTTTAAATAGAGTGAGGGGGACTATTTTAAAAAGAATGTGCTGAAAAATTTGATTTTCAAATTGTTTATTTTAAAATTTTATAAACAGTTGAATTTCTTTGAAAGATGTCTTATTGCTTGAACTTTAAGGAACAATGTAAAGTTTCGGGGTATCTTCTTTTTAAGAGCAGTCTTAATGCAAAGGAAATTCAATCTAAGAGGCTAATTCAAATACGTTTAGATGGTTGCGCTGGAAGTAGAAAAGGACATTCAATTCAGACCACAGTTATCTTGAAAAACAGTTCAAAATTGTTCTTACAATTTTGAACGTTTTAACCTGCAGGAACTTTGAACAATTTGATAATCGAATAAACATGAAGTTCTATCGGACTTAGTTGATTGTAGCAGCGTAATCAGTTTGCTCTAACTTGTCAGAGAAAAAACTTCAGGCCGATTTTGCTCGACTGATAACATTTGTTGAAACTGTTAATTACTCATCGTATCAAAAATGAAAAACTTTTTTTTCTGGTGTATCACTCTACCTCCACATACGCGCCATTAGAGCCGAAAATAAATTAAAAAGTAGTACATATTTTCCCCCTACTTTCAGTTGTCGGATCAAAAACTTTAGTCATTTTAGCCGTGATTAGTCCCATGGGCTTACCGAAAAGGGTTTACAGAAAAAAGCTGTATGTTTTTTGTCACGATAACACCCAGTCATCTGCTTAGTTTTATGAACATTTTTCTTTTCGCAACAAAGTTTTTTCGTTTTTGAGAAAGAACACTTCGTCCATCATCGATTTCAAACGAAACATTTTGTTTTGTATATTTCCCAAACCTCCTGCAACTTGGATTGGAAATTCACATTTATAGTCAACTTCCAGCTTTTGATATGTTTATTTGATGGTTTTCGAGACATTCAGTTTTTTTATTTACAATAGTTAAATTAAAAACTATAAGAGATACTGTAGCATTGGTGTAACGATATTGAGAGAAGATTGATAGATGATTGAACTAGGTTAGAAGTTTTTAGTCGCTTGGCTCTGTTCAGTCTCCTAAGAAGATTATAATAGAGTATTTAGAGCCACTTGTGTAAACATCGCGACTCGTGAAATTATAACGAGCCCACTCTCCAGCTCCACTCCCCACTCCAACATACATCCACTTGTGTCCACTTCTATCCAGACGAGAAATGACCTCATCTCTTATCTTCTGTGACGTCACACCCACTCTACTCTCCATATCAGACAACACACTCTTCGCCACACTCTCTCCCTTCTCCTTCTCCTCTTCAGTTGCACTGATGCGGTTGTAGTCTGAAAAAGGGACAGAGTAGATGTGCATATTATAGGGATACTCTGTCTTGTTCATCCACTCTGCCGTCTCACCAACTCCATCTTTACACTTGACACTAAAATCACTGTTTTTAGATTGAACTGTGATGAACCAAATTCTCTCAGGGTATGCTATCATAAAGGCATCTCTGATCTCGTCTGCTGTATCCTCTGTGTTCTTCCCACTTGTTCCTTTCAACATTGTATCTGCAGTCTTCTTCCACTGAGCTGAAACAGTTGATAATAACCATAACTATAATATCCCAATTTCCACTTATCCGGTTCCGCTGAGACAAAATTATAAAGGTGAATTATATAATTTTCAAGGTTTACTACAGCCGCCGCCCTATAAAAGTTTTAAAGTAAACTTCAAATAATTTTCATTACGTTGTACATAGACTTGAATGAAAGAACGAATAAGCGATATTAATTTGGAGTTGGAAGAAGTAATCGGTTATTTGGCTTCCAGTGAGTCTATAAAGAAGAGAAGCTTCTGGTTTCAGTCAGATATTGTTGATTTCATTCCGTTAGTATAATGTTTACTTCGTTACTCAAGAAGTACTATTATAATGTTATCATAATAAATCCAATAATTTCAACTGTCATAATTTTTCTATAAATTGATAGCCGATTATCATATCAACATGTCGACGTACCTTAACATTAGTTTGAATCTTAACGCCCTTACTTTTAGGAATTGAGAAAATAAATTATATGGATTGAAATTTCACAACTTTTAGAATTTTACTTTTTGACATAAGCTTTTAAAAAGTTAATCACAGAGACAGGTGAATCAATGATTCAATCAAATTATTGTTTTTAATACGGATAAGATCGTCATAGAGCTTTCCGAACTAAAGGATGCGTTAAATGAACTTTTATCAATAATCTTGATTTTTTCACGTCTGATTTTTCAAATCAATTTTTAAAATTTATTATTACAGGAGTAGATAGATTATCAACTTTGATGGTCAAAGTGATTTATATTAATCATTTGAATACAGCAGTTTTGTTTTTGAAAATTTTCCCCTGGGGTTACTGGCCTTCTAACTATTAATACTCATGATGAATTAGTCCTTAGTATCTGCATTATACACTTCTACAATTTGTACAAACTTTCGCAACAGTCTCCGAAAAATGAAGTGCGCTTCTTCATTCAAGAAGTAGTTCGATTAATTTATGAGTTTACAACGGACGACTGTGGTACGCTTCTCAACCACTCCCTCCTTTTGGCTCCTGACTGGAGCTTTACATGAAGTATGGTCAGATCCACTTCTTAGCCCTGCCCTGATGGTGGATGGTGGTCGGGTAGTAAGGCTGGCTGTAGTAATCATGACCTCATCTGGAGTATCTATGAGAGCAGTCCATTGATCTGGAGCTACTTAGAGCTGACTGACATTCCTCAGGTTTATCGCCCTCCCAGAAAGAGAGAATGGGCCAATTTTTAGCAAGAGTGTCCACGAGTGAAAAACTAGCAAGATTAAGACCAGTGGTAAGAAAATTCGAGTAAAAAAGAACGGAAAAAACAGAAAAAAGACAGAGACGAGCTCTAGAACATTAGACAACGGCTAGCGAAAGACAGGAAATGGTCACGAGACATGACGAAGAAAAAGATGACAGTGAGCATGAAACGTGAAAGTGAGACAAGAAACCGGGGAGTCGGGAAAGAAACATCCAACGAGAAGTAGAAAAGTGTGAGTATTGCCAACGACAAAATTGACAGAAAAACGATAGCCAGAATCAAAACAACCCAGAAAAGACATAGAATGAAAAAAGGTTAGGGGATAGCCCCGGGGATGTCAGATTGCAAAAAAGGTAGGTCCTTTGCTGGGAATAATGATCTCTCGGGATGCCAGTTCGATCCTTTATTTATGATAGATGTCAACAGAGGTCAAGACACTTCAAAATACTAGTTTAATACATCAGACGGCACAAGCATGAGCGAAAAGGAGGCGTTGATGTTTCAAAACCGAACTAAGTATATCAATGAACACTAGACAGAGAATGATATACGTCAGAAGGAATCATTATGGGCAAACGTTGTTTTTACCCTCTCTGATTTGATCGCAGCTACGCATATATGAGAAGCGTAGATGAAGGTTTTTCACGAGACGAAAAGCGAACAATTGAACGGATGAGCGATATGCGATATGGTCAGAAACTAGCAGAATTCGATAAAAATTAGCCTGTTGATCCCATTTAGAACGTTGGAAAAAGATAAAAAATGTAACAATTATCAAGGTATGGTAAAACGGTACGGTTGTTTACGGTTAACTCAACTTGATTCTAACTCATATAATTCAGACACTGAATTAGAGGTCAACAACTAGACAGACCTAGATTGATTGACAGGCAGTTTCCAGCTAACACTTAGTAGTGATATGAGAAACTCATATAAACAAGAATATAAATGATGATAGGTATCACCTAAAGTGATTGACATCCAAATAGGTAGCCGCTCACATTTCCCTACGGATGTGAAGTTGAAATACATAGTAAATTAAACTTATTGTAAAAAGTAGCAACATTGAAATATGATGTCGTAACTAGCAACACGAAGAAACTTTGAGTTCTAGGATTATGCACAGCCCTCTCTCTGGGTAACGAGTTTTTCAGTTTTAGTTTTTATCCTCCTCTGGTTACTTCCACTTGTTTGCCACCCCTTAGATATCTCTAATGATCGATTCAATCATCATCCCTACAATCTTATTTACAGGTTTTGAACGCCTCGTACTTCATTGAGTCCCCGAACTCTCGCTCTGTGCCTCCGAATCTCCTTCGTCCTGGCGGCTGTTCAAAAGACAATCTCTCGAGACTAATGCCGGTCTGTTTTGGCTCTCCTTCCCCCGTTTTGTTTTCGTATTCCGCACTTTAGCTCCTGTTCCCCATTTCTCGTGCGTCGTCGTTCCGCTCGTCCCTTGACCCGCTGCGAGTACTTCTTCCCGCGCCGCAAACTCGACTGGTAGTCGTAATAGTATCAAGTACAATGGCTGATAGTCCTCACCGTCCGAGTCCTCAGATGGTTCGGCAATTATTGCTTGTTTCGGAATGCTTACAATTTTCGGCCGCTTCGATTTAGAACTTCGTGTAACTCCTAGTTTCGCACTTGTAGCATCTCGGTTACTGTCATCGGTTTACGTTTATTCGGAGCAGTCTGTTTGGGTTTCGCTGCTACGGCACTTTTTCAAAGTACAGACCAGTTTTTCAATTAGATGGTATGTTTAGTTCAGATACTATAAATAGACTTCAATAGTTTGTACCGGTTCAGCGTACTGCTGGTAGTACGCTGGCAGATGTCGGCGGCCTCCCCACTCCCTTGGTGAGACAAATTGTCCTTTGACCCCTCCTCTTCCTCAACTTCCATTTGCTAATTGCTGTCTAGAATCACGAGTGCCTTTCTAAGAGTTGGGGGGAACACCAGGTTGGGGGTTGGTAGATATACTTTTCCGAAAATTTGAGTACTTTGTCTTTTATCCGACGTGTTGATGGAAGTAACCATAGCCGATGGCCACCTTGAAAAACTGTCCGTCGCGGCCAAAACATACTTTTTCTCTTCATTTAAATTGCTTATGGGGCCCCATAAGTCCAAATGTAAACATTCACACGGTTCCTTTAGTTCGGGAGTATTCCGACATCTCCTTTGGGTAGCAAGGTTTTTTTAGTTCGAACCCGCAATGCTTACCTTTCTGCCCACTTTGAGTGCTGTGGTTAAGCATTGCGTTAATCTCCGAACATTTTTGTTTTAGGACCTTACTCCCGTTCGGATTTTTCAGACTTGGTCTTTTCATGAGATTACGCAAAATGATATCCGCTTCTCGGCCGTGATGTGCTTCAAAAGTTGTTAGTTTCGTAGTCGCATTTTTTGAGAAACGCAATTCGCCTAACGCTTTGTTGACCATACACACTAGAGATTTAATTTCCTTTTCCGTTGCATAGGTGAGCACGAATTCATTCACTGGGGAGTATATTACCTCGATGCCTTCGCTGTTACAGAAATTTTGAAACTTTTTGGACGTAAAACATGACCCTTGGTCTACGTGGATTCTTCGAGGTACTCCGTGTTGGTAGATATACTTTTCCGAAATTTGAGTACTTTGTCTTTTATCCGACGTGTTGATGGAAGTAACCATAGCCGATGGCCACCTTGAAATTTGTTCGTCGCGGCCAAAACATACTTTTTCTCTTCATTTTAATTGCCTATGAGGCCCCATAAGTCCAACTGTAAACATTCACTCGGTTCCTTTAGTTCGGGAGTGTTCCGACATCTCCTTTGGGTAGCAAGGTTTTTTAGTTCATACCCGCATCCGTGCACTGTTGACAGTACGTCGCTTTCGCCGCCAGATTTCGGTTCATATAGGGGTACCAAATTTGCGGAGCTGCCTCGAACACGTTTCGCTTCCCATGCTGGTAAAGTGAATCCGTGCTTCTACCAGTACTTGGAGTGTTAGACGAATTACCAGTCGCCCGTCTAACCAAATGCAGTTGTCCTTGAGTGAAAGATCGTTGGCGTATTGAGCCCAATGTTTTCCCACCTTCGTCAACTCCTCCTTCAGGTTGGTCATCTTTTGTAAGGCTTCTTTAATTTTAAGTAAAATGACATCCGCAGGTATGCTTAAAGGGATAAATCCCAAATTAAACAAGTCAGGTGAGGCTGTAGATTTTGTAACATTTTTATAATCGCGTGGTATTAGGTTTTTTAAATGGAATTAATTCACCTGGAAATTTAGAAGAAATGGATAGAACTGTAATATTTTTCGAATCCCGTGCATATATAGAGATCGCTGGGCTACAAGATTTAAAACAGTTATTCCATCGCTGTTTTCAAAATTAGTGTTTAGTCTGATCGAAGAATTTACTTTTGAATCAATTTTGATGACTGGAAAAGAACAATTTGTTATTTAATCCTTTTTATTTCTTCGTAGTAAATTAGACTTAATGAGCCGTCTTCCAGGTGAACGACATATAGCGCACACTGAATATTCCTTTGATTTAGTAGTGATATGAGAAACTCATATAAACAAAAACAAAAATGATGATAGGTATCAACTAAAGTGATTGACATCCAAATAGGTAGCCGCTCACATTTCCCTACGGATGTGAAGTTGAAAAACATAGTAAGTTAAACTTATTGTAAGAAGTAGCAACATTGAAATATGATGTCGTAACTAGCAACACGAAGAAACTTTGAGTTTTAGGATTATGCACAGCCCTCTCTCTGGGGAACTAGT